TTATTATTATTATTATTATTATTATTATTATTATTATTATTATTATTATTATTATTATTATTATTATTATTATATTTGGATTCAAATAGACAGCAACCATTTCCAGAAGTATAATTTTTCATAAAACAGTGCCCATTAGTTTGTTGTGATTTAACCCCTGTTGGATAATGTTCAATATTTAAAGCAATGTCCAATGTCTGAATCAATGCGCTCTGACCAGCACTGGCTCCTACATATTTACGATAAATCGGATCACCATTTTCATCGTTACCATCTACCCCTTCATATATTAGCCCTTTCGGTAAGCGATCTTCATTTTCCCAACCACTTAAGTAAGGTCGTATCATATGATAAAAGACATATGGGTCACATTTTTCATGCATCCTTTGTAGGGTTGCATTGATGTCAATAATGGTAGAATTTATGTCTCTCAATGCAATTATCAATTTTTGGGTATTTCCAGTCTTAATAGCACGAATGGCAGACATTATTGCAGTAATGGCCCTTCCACCAAATCCTTCTATGGCAGTAGTAACAAGATAAAACCATGATTCATCCGGAGTATTTGAAAAGGTAAATAATGTAGCAAGATTGCTATATAAAGTAAAAAAAAAAATAATTTAAAAAAATGATATTAGATATTTCTCATGGTATTTTTTTGAACGAAAATATAAATGTATTTATATTAATAAATAAATATATTAATTATAAATGAGTTTGGATATGAACTTTAGACTAAACGGTTCATCTGGAAAGATCAGCCGCCAATTCCATAACACGACAGCAGCGTGATTTACAATTGGGGAAATGCCTAGGTAATCGGATACCTTGACCCATGGTTTTGCAATACAAGCCGGTAATCTCTATGTTGAAATATGATTTAGAATGAAAAAAAAAAAAAGGAAAAAAAAAAAAGAAAAAATCAAAATTACACCAACATCCGAAACTTCGTCAAATTTGCCCCATACATATCCATGTGCTAAGGAAGAAAGAACCAAAAATGCGCGATGGTATTCTGCTAGAGTTTTGAGAGGACTAGTATCC